TCAAAAGTGAGAAGGAAAGGTCCTATGTCATAGGTTGCACTGCATCTATTGTATAGAAGTGAAGCTGCTGAAGTACTGCATGTGCACTATCTCAAGAGGGGGGGGGGAAAATGTGAAGTTCACCAGATTGAACTTTTAAGGACAAGGGGAACTGGTAAATTTCTGTTTTCCTTTTCTGCATAAACTGCAGTGCGAATGCAAATTCTGATCCCATAAGTTATCACTTTTCCCTCTTTTCATGCCTGCATAAACACAGTCTAAGTGTTGATATAATTAAAACAATAATAAAATTATTGTTACAATGATTGACTGACCAATCAATTTTATATAATTTTTAACATGATCTCGGGACATCGGGTAGAGATACTCTAAACAATTCTTTGCTTTTTCCTCAGCCTTTTAATTTCTTGCTCTAGCATTCTATGACATAAAACACCATTCATATTTTCAATCAGGCCATATTTAATTGCTATAGCTGCGCTTAAGTCCACATAATTTGCATCTGAATGCCGAACATTAGAGCACCTATTATATTTACAGATGCTTCCAAAAAAAAAAAATGTTAACACAAATGTGGAAGTAACTTTTTTTTTGCTAGATGTATAGTGGCATATTGTCTTCTGTGTAATTCTCCATGTACTGGTACAAGAAGTTAACCCAGTTCTGAAAAAAGTATGATTCTTCTACTATACCAAATGATCTTGCACTTTTTCCATATAAGTTAACTTTTTATTTTTAAAGCATCTTGTGTGTTAACCATGCTTAAAATTGACCTATTTATTATTAATAATGAAACTTTTACATTTTTTTGATTACCTATAATTTGTTTTAAAATTCTGATAAGTCTCTTAATTAACCTGCTTGCCAAAATTTTTCTTAGTATAACACTCAAATTTCTCTACTAGAAAATTTGATATTGTTTTCAACAGATCTTGTTCATGAATTAATTATATAAAAATGTTCAGAATATAAATTATTAGAGTAGCTTGATAATATTTTCCAATTAAAGCCAATCTAAATATTTTGTTGATTCAGTCATTTGAACTGAAATGTAAATATTTTCCCACATGTTAGTATGAAAATAAGTAGGATCAGTTACGAATATTTTTGTAAATGGATCATTTATATTGTCTGTTTAGGTATAAGATCAGAATGCATTTTCGGACGAGCGGAAATCATTTTAAACTTGTTGCCTTGCAGTAAACGGAAGTTAGTTTTTCGCTTTCGCCTGTACGAATTGAAAATCGGCCATTTTAAAATTCAATAAGCTCGGATTTAAAATGCAGAAATGTTTTTTTAACTTTAAACCTTCAAGGTTATGTCATGCGATATTGGACAATTGATTATATTTAATATGATTTTTGTACAGGCTAAACAAGTAACTGAAGTAGTTTCTCTGGATTCTAATTTGTCACATCTATTGTATTAGCAAATATGAAAGATTTCCACACTATTTCATCCATCTAATAATAACTTCTGTTATAAGTGGATACAAAATAGATCATTTCACATCAGCCACTTTTTTCTCCTTTATCCAAGAGTTTATTTTCTGATTTAATAAACAATTGTCTTACTTGCTGTTTATATATGAGGGAAATTAGATTTTTTCCCCCTACCTGTATGGATGTTAGTATGGGGCAGGATTTTGTTCGCCTTCACCTTCTTTGAAGCTTAATAACTCCTGATCCGTTTTGTCCACTCTGAAATTCTGCAGGGAGGTTTGTATATTAGAGGTATTGATGCTATTAAGTTTTAGTGGTTAAAGGTCAAGGGACTGGGGAATGCAAGAGTCATTTCATACCTCCAGTGGAGTCGGATTTAGTGAAGATTTTTACCCGGTTTTTTTAAATGTTTTTGCCGGGAAAGTCAGGCAGCTCGTTGTAGCTGCACGTTTTCGACTCGTCTAACTTATACAGTAGACCCCCCCATAACACTGTTGATAATTCCGTTTTATACGAATTCCATGTTGTACGAGTCACTTAGATTTTACAAATACGTGTGCCGGGCTGTGAACGGTTCACGTATTTGTAAAATCTAAGTGACTCGTACAACATGAAATTCGTATAAAACGGAATTATCTACCGTGTTATAGGGGGGGGGTCTACTGTATTGTAAAATGACTTAAGCGTAATTTAACGATCGATCGGTATCGCGGATCTTTCTCGGTGGTCGCGAAATTAGTCGCCAGCTACCATTTTATTTTTAAAAAAAAAAACGTTTCTTGTCTCGTTCCGCCAGACAATTATGACTGCCCGTAGTCGTCCGTGTCCGTCGGAAAGTAGAATCGAAGTCTAATCATTCCATTCCGCGATTTCCTATCGTTTGTTGCTAGGCAAGTGTATACCAGTGATGGTGAGCCCGTGACCCGCGCGGCGATTTCAAGGTACTCGTTGAATATTTAGAAAGTATTTGGCTTTTATAAATTATTTAGTATTAAAATCTGGCAAGTATTTCATATGTAATGTGAAAGCAAGGCCGTGAAAAGTTTTTTAAAGACTAATCACGAACCTCAGAAAAAAAAATTGCCAAATAAACAGCAAATTTCCCATTTTAAACAGTCAAATTATTTTGATACCTCTCCCCCAATTACTTAAAATTAGACAGTAAAATGAAGTGGCGATATAACTTTGTATTGTTCGAAGGGTTTTGCTTCATTGTTTTTAACATCGTTATATAAATTAGTGGGCTTAAATTTTTAAGGTAAAGGAGTAATAATGTAACAGATGAAGATTTTTTTAAAAATAAATTTAAATCGATAAAGATGAAAGAGAACTGTTGCATTTTATATATACAGTCGACCCCCCCCCTATAACACTGTTGATAATTCCGTTTTATATGAATTCCATGTTGTACGAGTCACTTAGATTTTACAAATACGTGTGCCGGGCTATGAACGGCTCACGTATTTGTAGTGTTATAGGGGGGTCGACTGTACCGGCAAGTGTTATAGGGGGGTCGACTGTACCGTACATAGTGTTGTGGTTAGACTAATTTAGTGGTCAGTTGATAATTATTCGTTAAAATGCTGTCATTCACAATTCTCATTTCCATCTACACACACCTTTAAAGTGACGAAAGGATACAGGAGAAAGGATACACACTTAAGTGCCAAGTTTCAAAGTATACATTTAATCCTTTCGTAGAGTTTTGCTTATATTATTTTATTGTGAAAATTGTCCCAGTAATAAACTTCTTTTAATGCCATTTTCACGTTGCTTACAATTCACAAGTGTGTGTGTGTGTTATTTTATAAATTTTTAAAAATTTGTTTATAAAATTATTATTATCTGAAATCCGATTTAACGATGACGAAATAATTTCATGAATCATGTTTTTAGTTTTTTTTAATGACCTTCAGAAACATTTTTGTAGAGGTTCTCTACTTTTAAAACGATTATAAAAATTAATACGGGTTATTTTACTAAGTTTTCCAGGAAATTTCCCCCCCCCCATAATTTCGTCCTTATTACGTGAAATTAATTAAATATAACACATTTTTTTAAAAATAGTAATCGCCGATATCGATTGCCGTTCGTTTGGTCGGACAAAACGAATAAAGAAATCTTTAAAACTGGTTATGCTAATTACAAACTAATGAAGTGTACTTATATTTGTTCGTGCAAAATATCGATTGCCCATTCTAGAAAAGTTTTGGCCCGAGTATATTTGAAATTCTTTCGAAAAAAGTAAGCATTGAACTTAACGTTGTGACACCGCGACAATTTTATGATTACGTGTCGTAGCGAGCGTGTTCAGTTCCAGTTTTTGATTTTAAAAACGAATGTAAATCGGTTATCGTTCTTATCACTTCAAAAACAGCTTTTTTAAGGTTCTATTTATGGTTATGGTTACCAAAACTTACCGATCTATACTTTAATTATTTCGGTATGAAACACGATAAATCAAATCACACTCCTAATTAATCGATCTCTATTAAATATTCTAAACAGTGTTTTATTCAAATAGTTTTATCGTTTTAAAACCGAAAAGAAATTACCGTTGTTTACTAGTTTAATTGCAAGAGTATTAAATGTCGATATTTTCAAATTGTTATTATTATATGCAAGATTTATTTCGGCCGTTCTCGTCTCGTAGAACAATGCGTGTAGTAGCGCATTCTGTGCGTTGTGAATGTGTTTTTTTAAGGTTATCTCCCTTCCGTCCAGTTAGATAAAGGCTAATATACTTGGCTGACGTCATCCTATCACAATACCTTTCCCATCTGCACGCTCTTAACACTTCAGGGATTTCGTTCTCAAACTAGAATAGGTAAGTTGCTGTTTCTTGTCTTGTTTTTGTCCACTTCTTTGTTAGTGTTTTTTTTTCTTTTTGTATTCTCTATTTTTTCGTAGTTAGCGGTACGAAAAATTTCGATTTGTATTGCGTCATTATTGTTTTTTTAATTATTATTATTATTATTCGAAAGTCGCCCAAGACACTTGGCATTATGCCTCGTGTAGACTTAACTTCTCGTATAAAATCAGATTTTTAAGTTTGTTTGCCCGTAGAGTTAAGACTCGGATAGGTGACGTAAACTGTACTCGAATACACTACTGTATTGTTCTGTTTTTTTTAACTTCGGCCTTGAAAGGTTGGCCTATCGCGAATGGAAAAAGAATGGTCGTCGTATTTCGGAACTTTTGTAAGAATGACACACACACACACACACACACACACACACACACACACACACACTATAAGTTACGACGGTCAAACTTTATCGATTTTTAATCTGTGACGTTCACTCGCTTCGTTCTGAATTCTCAATGTATTATAAACACGCAGTAGTACTTGTACAGTACGTATTGTTTTTATATACTGTATAAATATATATAGAACCTGTTCTCTCCGTCACGTGCCGATCGGCAAAAATGCCCAAAATAGTAACGGGACCACGCGCGTGCAGTTGCGTATTTCGTAATCTGCTTCGGCGTTTTCCATTAGTCAGCTGTGACGTATTGTGTCGGCGCATGCCCCGTCGGATTATTTTCAGCGTCATCACGTCGAATGCCGGTCATCAGGCTTTTGCCGCGCCCCTATTACACCGTCGACATACGAATTTTGTTTGTTCGCTCTCGAGATCCACGATCTTTTTGTTCGTTCGACGAGTTTCTAACGTTTTCCGAATGTAATATGCGATATTAAAATAACTGTCGGTCGTTAACTCGTGTGTGTCTCTTTCACTCTCTCTCTGTGTGTGTGTTTGTAATTAAAATTTCGAAAGATTGCTGTTCGTAGCGATAACGCTCTTTCTATCTCGGCGATTTAACGTTTAAATATTACTTTTTTGGAATAAATTGATATTAATAACGACCACGCCGCAGCGTATGAGGTATTTGTTACGATTGGACTGTTTCCATGGGAACATTGTGTAGTTCGATTTCTAACAACCTGACCGCCGAGGATCCCGCATTGAATATCCCAGATGAGAAAGTTAGCACACCTGTGAATTATAGTGTAAGTGTTCTAATGATCTAAGGAGAATTTCGTTTTAAAGTTTTTTTCTTATCAGTTATTAATAATACAATTATTTAACTTATTATACTTCCTTCGCGTTGATGCCTGGTCTCTCTATATAATCGCTGGCTATTTCCCCTTTTCTAGTGTCTTTCCCTCTGGTCTGTATCCTTGCGATTTTTAGTTTTGTTACATATTATTATAATATAATACGCGGAGAATAGCGGGTGATTAATCGCTTGTAGTTCGGAGTATAGTAACTTTTTTTGCTTTTATACAAATATTCTTATGTTAATAACAAATTAGATTATGTAGTTATTACAGTATCTTGTAACGTTATCCTTAGTTAGTGTTATATAATTAGATTATGGAAGTTTTTGTATTTAGTCTACAGACTTTTTATCCAGAAGTCTGTCTTAACGGAAAGGAAAATTCTTAAAATATTTAAATTTTGAGAGCTTATAAATTCGCTATGAATACAAAGCGAAGTAAAAATGAATGCGGATCCTTTTTTATTATGCGTTCGTGTACAAGTTTTAAGTTGTGTGTTTGTGTTGTTGTAATTATATATATGAGCTTTTTTGAGTTCATTGTACTTGCCAGTTTCAATAAATTAATTTGTAAATTTTTCAGTTTCTCATTTTGGAAAAAACTGTTGGCTTTGAAGATATGTTTCTTCTCGTATATAATAAAACTAAATAAATGATGATGATAATGTAGACTTAATCTGATAATCAGATTAAGGTGAATTAAACACCTTTCCAGTTCGACATTGTAGTTGTTTTTTTTTGTGTGCGTGATCAGTTACTTATTCCAGTATTGCAGATTTCTTATTAGAAAAAAACGCCCGTATCTTAAGACAGTATGTCAACAGTCTAGTTGCAGTTCTTGTCTGTAATTGTTTTGTTGTTTTTAATAGTTCAAAATAGATGAGAGAGTTCTATATAGGCCTATCACTAAATAAAGTAATATTTTGATTTCAGACTATCTGGCAGAAGCTTTTGATATAGTATTAATAAAACTTTTATGCATTAAATATATAAAATCTGATTATATTTCAATTTCAAAAAGTACTTTTTGTAGCCAATCAAAGAAAAATTAAACCTCAACTTGGATACAGCTGACAAATTTTATTTTTAGAGAAGTTAAGTATCTTTAAATGTCAGTGTATAATTGAAAAGTTTCATTGCTAACCGTTCAGTTGGCAGATAACCTGTCAGTATTAGACGAAGCCGAATCTTATCTTTATCAAATTCCATTGATCATCCCTTATATTGGCTATATATCAAATTTAACTCCTGTTCTTAACTTTTTAATTGACACATTGCATATATCGATGCCAATTACAGTAAAACGTGTAAATCCCAAAATCACAGTATAGAATTTTTTTCTGGTTTAGCAAGATTGCATTTCAAACAGATTTCTTTTTAATGTAGAAAATCACTCTGTTTTGGCCAGGTTCGACATTTCTGCTGCGGTTAAAATCAATTTCTAATAGTGTTTTATTTAAAATATTTCCTAAATTATCTAATATCAAGAGCAAAACTTCTTTTTGAAATTTCATTCCAAAGACAACTGACATTCTAACAGATCATTGCAAATAGAACATAGCCTGATGAAAAACCCAGTGGGATCCGAAAACATTAGCGTAAGCAATTGAACATATTTCATGCCGGTTATAGGTTTTTTAGAAAGATTATTAGTATTGTTCCGGTGTGCGGCGAATAATTATTTATTCTTTTTGTATTTTTAGAAATGTTAATGATTTTTAAGTATCAAATTATGGTTACTGACTTTAAGATTAAATGTTTATCAAGTGTAAACTTACATAAATTCATCTTGTATTTAGTTACATCATGCATTTAAAGTTGCATTTTTGAATGGGATGAAAGTCAAAGCTTGTTAGGATTGAGATTTATGTAATATTTTGAAAAGTATTAAGTAACTAAGAAAATTAGCTTGTCTACTTCTTTTTCAAATTCAGGAAACATTTTTGTTTTATCAAATTTCAGTAAACAAGAGCATTTGGGAACTAGATCAGGAAATGGGTATTTGCAGAATAACAACTCTAGAGCCCTGGTACTCGCACGCGGCAACAGACGACAAAACCAGTGATGAAACGACAAAATGACGTCACTTTTGCTGTCGAGGAAAGAGAAACAGCAAAAATTAGACTAATAGGAAGACCGTTTAGCAAGGTCATCATAAAGATCACATTTGAACTATGGCGGTCGGCAAGCTAAAAAGCTTTATTTGTAAACTAATTCGCTAATATATTTCATTTATACGCTATATTACTATCCGATTTAAATGTTAATGCCAAATAGACTTACTTACTGCATAATGTATTGGGAATGGAGTAATCTTAATTTGGTGACAAAAGTATTTAATGTTCCTAACTTTTGACGATTTAGAATAGTTTTCCTATCCAAATTATTCAGTTTTGAGTTTATTTGCGATAAGATCAAAGGCAAACTTGAAAAGTTTACCGGGATTGCTTCGTTATATCAATTAGACTCCATTTTCGACTACTGGCACGTGGCCTACTTACTGTAGTAGCTTGTTTATATTTACGGCTGGCAGAAGGTGCATTTCAATCGTAGGGTAATTTCCACATGTTAGTACACGTGACACGGAAAGATGGCAGAATGACAACCTTTTCTGTTGTCCATTTCCACATGCAAGTACCAGGCTTAACTTAAGAAATTGAGTGATTGACTCAAACCATTCAAGCCAATCAAAGAAAATCTTGCAATCTTAAAAACTAATTCTTTTAATGTTTCTGAATTTGCAAGTCTATTCAAGCTTGAGGTGATATTAAATAAATTTCATTTATATCCTAACACTATCTCAGCTCATTCCAAGAATGTTTTGTATTCTTATGTCATTGACTTCTAATGAATTTTTTTCCTCCCCACATTTTAATACAATTCTTAAATTATTATTTCAGCAACCTAATAGTGCTGTAAACCAAACTTATAACATACAGAAGTCGTGATAAGTCTGGAGAAAAAATAGCACTATTAGATTGCTGAAATAATAATTTAATACAAATCCCAAACAAGAAGCTAAATGGAAGGATATATAAATACCATTTGCAGTTAATGGTAAACCTTTCATTATGTTTAAAAACTATATTTTTATACAGTTGTTTTTGAAATTGTATTATTTACTTGTAAGATACAATATTACAGGAAAAATTATGAATTTCTACGATATAACTTTATTAATAATGGGTAGTTTCCCTCCCCTGACTGTTTTTTAATATTGCACCATTATTTTTCAGCATGTAATCAGTATTTTTTCCCTATAATATATTGATTTTTTAAAATTGGAGGATTTTGTTATAAGAATATCTTTGATATTGCTCAATATTTAATTTTATTAAGTACATAAAAGAATTTGAAGACTAATTTTATATTTCATTCTACTCTTAGGGTGAAATGGCTCGCAATGGCTCCTCCCTGCAGCCTTCTAATACAGAAATTGATGACAGTCTCTATTCCCGTCAACTGTAAGTATCATCTTCTAAAAATTTAATGTCAAATTTATGTCTACATAAAATAGAACTTGCCTGTTGTTTTATAAAGCAAGAAACTGTTAATGAATAATAGTAAAAATAATATGAACCTATATTTACGGGACGCATCTAGTAAAATTAAGTTTTATGAAAAAACTGTTTAAAGAGATTAAGATGATGTTAATTGTTAACATGTTTATTACATAATAAATTTTTGTTGGAACATAATTTTTATTTGGAATTTAATAAGCTATACTGTAAATTTTTCAATATTTTAGTGTCCCATAAACATAGGTTCAGTATGGGGAAAAAAAGTAACAAAACATGATGATAAAATTTCCTAGTGCTTAATGTAACCTCCTTTAGCTAAAATTAAATATGATTAGGCATTGATTTGATTAAAGTTTGCGGGCGTTTTTCTTGAATTTCCTTCCATTTAGCTACTATTGCATTCTTCAGTTCTTATATTGTGGCATATTGCTTGCCTCCTGCATACAGCTGTAGCAAGTATTTCCCACAGGTTCTCAGTAGGGTTGAGATCGGGATTGCAAGGTAGCCAGCCCAAAATCTGAACTTCATTACTCTATGGACTTGGACTTGTGTATTGAGGCATTTTCTTGTTGGTAGTTCCATGTTGGACCTCCTATTTTCTCTGCAAATGGTAAGAAATGTTTCTCCAGCATTTCTTGATAATGATACAATTGCATTCATACTGCCACATTAGACTTTCCATTCCATCTGAATGATGCCTGTATCATCACAAAAGTGCCACTTTGACATTTTTGAATATATCTTTTTCTATCTGAAGTTGTGTCAATAATACTGCCATCTAGATTAAACTTTAAATTGGCCAGTACATCGTTATTTGGCCTATTTTAACCTCTTCTGCTTGTGTGCATATTTTAAGTGAGCGGGTTCTCTTTGTCTGAATTTTTTATAATTCTGGAAACTGTTGATTTGAATACAGGACTTTTAAGTTTTATGGTATTTTGACGTATTGATGAATTATTACCAGTTTCTTTTAAAACAGCTTGTCTTATTTGTGCGGTTACTATTAAAGGCTATCCTTTAGGGCATTTTTATACTGCAAGCGTCTTCTAGACGTGAAACAATCTCATAATTTAATTTTACAAGTTTTATTGCAATTTGTCTTTTCTGAAAGTTCAGATTCCTTCCAGGCCATAATTATTCCTTTTACTGTCTGTAAGGCTCTTGGCATGTCCCGTGACTGAAGTCATCCAAAATATCGAATGTAATTGTTATGCAATAAGTGTTAACAATGAATTCTTTCTTCATTTCAGAAACTTCATTTTATTAGGTGGACTTATTGGGATGCACCTTTAGAATAACTTTATTTGAGCATTTTTACTTCAAAAAAAATTAAAGAAAATTCATTATGCTATTTGAAAAAGCGCACATCAAATAGTAGTGAGTAAGAAAGTTTAAATTAGTTTTAAATAATTAATAGCATAAATCGAGGGCTACATAATAAATGGGAATCATAATCCACAGATTGGATCAATGTGAATCTGTAGAACCAATAATATATAAGATGATCGATTAATTATCTGAATTCAGTTAATCAATACACTGACTGCTTTTATTATTGATTACATTTATTTAAATAAATGTCCTTAAATAATTTATTTGAATTGCTTTCTCTATTATCTATATTAGTCATGAAAGTCTTAAATTTAGATGCATGTTTTCATGATGTAAAAGATTTTGACTTTTTATGTAAAATATTATATTATTTGCTTATATTTAAATATTATTTTTCATAAATTCTTTTGAAAGGCTCAACAAGTATCAAAGTTACGGATAAAGGAGTTTACTTTGTTTTTAGAATTAAAAAAAATGCTTTTCCAGCTGAATTTAACTTGAGTTTTGTTTAATTTACTGTGTGTAAGTTATTAAATTTCATTTCTAAGCTAATTTTTTAAAAGCATTTAAGTGAATAAATTGAACTGGTAATGTCATCTTACCATCAGATCAGTCTATAAATTTGTACATATTTGCCTCGTGTCAGTTTGACTCAACAAATGCATTGCCGTGCATGTTTTGCTTCTTTACATACCTTTTCCTGCACTAATTTATTAAAAATGTACAATGTGTTTGGTGATTTGTGATGTTTGGCTGTTATGAAATGTAAAACTGAGCGCTCCGGTAATCATCAATTATCATAAAGATAGCATATAATAATTTTATAAGGAATTATATTTATTTGTACAGAAATTCTGTTGTGTTTTTATCACTCAAAAAGAAATTAACTTCTGCAACAGAAAAGTTTATCATCACGTATGAATGCCAAAAATGGTTTTCAAATATAAACAAAGCAGTATAGATGATAAACACTGTTCTAGATCTTATATAGAACTTGATAACTGAATATTCTTGTGTATGCAGAGGCAGAACTAATTGTGGATTAACTAAGCATCAGCACTTTTAAATTACAGAACATGATCTGTTTTTTGACCATATTGCAAAAGGTGATTGTGATACAGTAACTATTTTTACTTTCCCAGCTGTTATAACAGAGAAAGTATGGTGATCTGGCAAAAAATGACCCCTCCCAATTTTATATTCTTCAGTTCAGAACACCTTCAAATGTCTAAATACAGAAATTACCCCAAATATTTTTGCATGTCTAGATGTTAATGTATGGGAGCATGATTTTATTCACCCTGTTTGCAGCTTAAATCCTGTGCTTTTTGTCAAATTTCTGAAATTTTGTAGGGAAGTTTGTTTGTTAGGGGGATTGATGCTATTAAATTTTAGTGGTTAAGTCCTTTTTATTTTCCATAAGGAACTATAGTAGTTTAGTCAGGCTTTCAACTTGAGATCTAATCATCCAATTAACTGTGTTTTTCTAGACTTCAAAACTGTCAGGACCATATCCTGTTCCCATCCTCTAGGGTCCATGATTATCTAATCCTGACAGCTGTATTGACAAATCTCAAACAATAAACCAAAGCAGACAGATGTGATAATCCTGTTTGAAATCAGTTTAATTTCACTTTGTGTTATTGAGAAGAGAGAGAGAGTAAGAAGTCATTTAGTGCTATGATCACTATGAATATGAACAAAAATGAAAAGCTTTCTCATTAGAAACAAAGGTAGCAATGAATTATTTCTTAATTTCTTCGAACAGTTTTTTAGAAACTGTTCAAAGAAATTAAGGTCGTCTTCACTGACCAGACTGATTTTGGGCTGCAATTTGAAAAAACTGTAGACCTATAAATTCCCACTGTCAGTTTGTCTGCCCGTCTTTCCTTAATTTCAAATGGTGTTAGATAAAAGTCGAGACCAGATATGGAAAGCTTAGGGGTGGGAGGCTCTGACTAACTGTATACGAACTTCCTGTCTAGACCAGGAGTCACGTGATTTCAATTGAAAAATTTTTTCCTGAATGGAGTTGCATATTATTGTACATAGGTGACCAGCTTGGCTTGTTAACAGGAAAAGTAGGATTTACAGGGACAAGACACTAATAATTTGAGATGGAAAACATATAGTATTTTAAATTAAATAAATTAAGAATGATTAAAAATTACAGTTTGGCATTGCGATGATGATACAATAAATAAATGCTCTGTTAGATTTCAAAAGTTTTCATTTTTTAGGATATTTTTATGCTTCTAATAATTGTGTATTAAAAATTGACTATAATAAAAACTGAATTTTGTCATATAAAAAATAATAATCTGCAAATTTTTTAAAACTTTTATACTATAATTTAGTCTAGTCATGTTTCTTTTTATTCCACGAAAAGTTACTCTATTTAACATGACCTTTATCTATGACTATATGACCCTTGCATTAGTGTGTACAATATCAAATTGCTATTAAAATAAATTAATGCCAGTACTGGTCTTTGACTACAAAACAAAAATAATTTCAGCAACAATTATTATAAAACTTGTACTACATTCTGTATTTACAACAAAAGTTGATGATTATTACAATTTTTACAAAATTAAAATTATTCAAAATCTCAATCTGATTAGGGAAAAGAACCTATCAGAAGAAAAACTCTTAATCAACCCTAACAAGACGTTCAGGTCGCCAAATCAAACGAAACTTGGCAAGCACATAGCCCTAAACACAATTCCTTGTCCGAATAATAGGATCCAATTCTCGAGCATTTCCAAAAGCAGGTCTCCGAAAATTGAGCGTTTAGCTTGTAAGTCTTTTCAAAGTTTCGAGTATACTTGTAATGGTGATAGCCAAGTGTATAGAACACAGATCTCTGGACCTACATGGTGTAGGTTCACGAACATCTAGACCTTGAGTGAGCACTGTCAATTTCTTCTGCATCATGGTGCATACATAATGTCAGGTTTTTTGCCCAATCCAAAGAATAAAACTAGCACATTTATCGTGCTGTCAACATTCAGTAACTCATATGTTAAATAAAATGGAATGTAGTGAGTATGGTTTAAAATATAGTTATTGACAAAGTTTAAACAGGTGTATTAAGGCAAACAAGCATGTAAAGGACAACAGCAGTGAGAAAAATATTAAATTCAAGTGCAGGTTGTCACAAAGTTTTTTTTAATATTGATGCCCCCAATATCAGTACATGTTGTTCTATCTTACAGTATACATAGCGCATATATAATTAAAGTACAGGGTATACATAAGATTTTTACAGCTGAAATGATAAAATATCATTTTAATTAAATTCTTAATAGCAGACAGATTGGACAGGGCACTCACCTTAAATGGAACATAAAAATTATGACAAAACATAAATACATTGATTAAGTCATCAAAAATGACAGCAGAATGACAACAAAGAAAAATGAAACTTGTTATGAACGGAAGGGTAGACAAAGATTAGTTTAAGCAGAGTTTGAATGTCCAGTTATGAAGGGGATTTGCTAGCCACTTTAAAGAATGAGAAATGTGTTCGATATTCTTGCATTTATGTTATTATTTATGATCTAAGTGACTAATAAAAATCAATATTTGCCTGTGTGATATTTATTGAG